GGTCCAGAGTTTAGGGCATCTCAGCCCCGGAACCCGTCCCGGAACTCGCGTGGAACCAACGCTTCACCCTAAGCCCAAAGCCTTTTGAAGCCATCTGAGCCCCCCGGCCGTGGTCTTTGAGGTGTTAGTTGCATTATTGTTATTACTGTTATTGCTACCATTATTTATTCTTAGGTATTTATACTACCGGTATTTTTTACCATCATTGTTATTACTAATCTTAGTCTTTTTAGGTATTGTCATTATTACTCTTCTTTTCAAACATTTCGAGGCGAATGTCCTTGCATGTACAGCAATGATTCGAGCTTTCCGGACGACACGGCCGCACCGGGAGAGTGTACAACACATTAAGTTTTAATCCCTGAGCCCTAGACCTCTAAGCCCTAAACGGTGAATGACATGCGTGTGAAGCAGCACGGTGCTGCAGCGGGAGCGCGGAATGTTCCGCGAGCACCTCGCGCTCGAAGTGCCACCACAACCAATTGTCACCCAATGTAAGAGCCAAAAACCAGATCATTTGGCGAATAACGAGAGGTGCCTTACTCAAAACCGTACTTAGGGAGTTCCGTGACCCTTTCACTTTCGAATTCAAGGCCGACAACGCGAAATTCGACGGCCAGAGTTTGTTCCAGCGCATGCAGGTGGCGTTTCTTCAGAGGCTTTAGGGCCTTTGCGGGTTTAAGGACACTTGTTAAACTACCCCCTCTCTTGCTTAACGTACATTCGCAACCGGTATTGGGTCTCTGGCATCAGGGTTTCCAGAATTCGGTAAGTCATAAGGAGTGGTGGTGCTCCGGGTCTTTTTGAATGGCTTCTGCAGGTTTTCAGGTCTTTTACAGGGCGTAAAGTTTTTGTTTTACATGTTCTTGATGTGGATTGCAAGAAAGGTCAGCTGTTGTTACATCGGTGCAAAACCGAATACGTATAGTTTGCGCACCTGAAACCTTAAGCCTTAAGCCCTAAACCCTGAACCCCTAAAGCGTAAACCCAAAGAGGGCGTCAAGTCTAGGGTTGAGGGTATGCCGGCGAGTCGTCTCCGGAAGTTTCGGGAAAATCCCTAACATAAGGGCCCGCAGTAATTACCTATTCTCTTTTGTGGGTTCCTAACCCGCAAGGCTGTCCATAAACCCTGAAGAGCCCAGCCAAGAGAGGAGTTTACTTCAAGCTTGAAGGCCATCACAACAAGGCGACGTGGAGATGCAGCCACTAGTGGCTGCAGATGAGGATCTCGAGATGCAGCTTCCTCCCCTGCAGGCGGCAGAGGCCCGACGCGAAGGGCATACTTTGCCCTAGACCCTAAACCCTAAA